TGAATAAAGAAACGATTTTTTTTTTGTTTGTGGTTAGAGATATATTAAATTCCTGATTTTGTTAAAAATCTGAGTTTTCGAGAAAGTCGGGTCGTTGTACATTATGTAAACCAAACGATAAATAATAATGTACAATAACATTTCTCCTGTGAACAACAATTTTGCTCTGCGCACAGAAAATGTGCACACATAAAACTGTCAAAACAGTCACAACATAGGTGGGGCCCGCATTTTTGGCAATATTTAATTTCACATGGGGCCCACATCCACATGAGTCTTCTATTGAACTTGTGTAGGAGATTTTTCTGCTTATCCAATATGTTGTAAAATCTCATTACTTGTACATTATGTAAACAAAATGATAAATAATACTATACAATAACATTTCTCTTATCAACAACGGTTTTGCTGTGTGTACAGTAAATGTGCACATAGAAAATTCTCACAACACTCACAACATGGGTAGGTCCCGCATTTTTGGCAATATGTAATTTCACGTGGGGTCCACCTCCACGTGAGTTTTCTATTGAACTTGCCTTGGAGATTTTTCTGCACAAATGAAAAAATTCTATCAACAATATCTTCACTCAATATTGTTTAGTGTATAGACTATGATCCATCCATAAGAATATACGCAGGCCAGTTGCCAGCAGATTCTCTCACTTCCTCTGCACTAGTCCGTATATTTATATTTGTCGATATTAAAAAACCAGCACCTCTAAATCTCGATTAGGCCTGCAGCCCACTGTTTAACGCCAAAATATTCGTCAAAAAGGTTTTTAACCTCACTCCCACGTGCTATGCTATGCTATGATTGACTCGGCACATTCTTGATTTTTCCTAAAATTTATTGTTATTGATGTAAATTCCATTGAATATATTTTTACGAAAAAAAAAAGGTAAGGAAAATTTGTCTTTCTGGCATTTTGTTGATTCCAAAATCTGATTTTGATATGATCTTTTAGTGTAATTCACTTTTTCATTTTTTGGTGCATGGTCTATAAAAGTTTCAACAGTTTCTTCATCTTTTCTTGAACTCGCAGAGCATTGGATTGGATTTTTAGAAACAATGGAAGTGGAATCAACTAACAACAAAATCTGGAATGTGGGTCTCTTGCTAGTGGCCACTCTGTTAGCGGCAAAATTAATATCGGCATTAATAATGTCCAGATCCAAGAAACGACTGCCGCCGGTAGTCAATTCTTGGCCGGTTCTCGGTGGGCTGCTGCGATTCTTGAAGGGGCCAGTGGTGATGCTGAGGGAAGAATACCCAAAGCTTGGTAGCGTGTTCACTCTGAAATTACTGAACAAGAATATCACTTTCTTGATTGGTCCAGAGGTATCGGCGCATTTCTTCAAGGCGCCGGAGTCGGATCTCAGCCAGCAAGAGGTTTACCAATTCAATGTGCCCACCTTTGGACCTGGGGTGGTGTTTGATGTGGATTATTCCATTAGGCAGGAACAATTCAGGTTTTTCACTGAGGCCCTGAGAGTTAATAAGCTCAAAGGTTATGTGGACCAGATGGTCGTGGAAGCTGAGGTATTCTCAATTATTTTGCTGCATTTAATTCTACCTTTATCAACTCTTTGAATGCATGTGGAAAGGTATTGAATTTGTGTAAATATATGTGTGTGTGTGGAGATCTGGAATAATGCATCTAAATTCTAAATGTTAAGCTATTTACTTGCTGTAATGGACAACATTGTTCCATTCAAGGTCTTCTTTTGATATTCATGTAATTGCACGTCACTTTTAAGCATCTAAACGAGTCAGTTACAGTATTAGTGGTCTTTAGCTTGAAGTAGGATTAGGCTGTTTCAATTTAAGTTGAGATCAAACCTACTGCTGAAGATCAGAAAGTTGCATTTTTAAAAAATGCTATACATTTAAGCTTGTTTTGGTTCCAAATTGTCTTCCCCACAAGTTCACATGTAAGGAAACACACCCCTAACAAAAAATGAGGAAAAAGAAAGCTTACATATGTATGAACTTCTCCAATATACACTTGCATTTGGTTGCTGTTAACCGACCGTCAATTTTCAAAAAGTTTTGTTCTCTTGATACACCTTAAATTTTTTGTTCACGAATATGTATTTTTTCGAAATTATTACTCTGATTACAATATCGCAATAGCTTCTTTTGATTTCTTATTGGGATTTTTCTGGCATTTCAACGAAATTACTGATTCTGATGTGGAAACGGGTACTTATATTTCTCCAATGAAATACGCGTATGGTCCTAGAATTTCACTCATTTTACGCAATCTGTTGAGAAGGTTGTGGTCTTTTAAGGTGCTTATGATATTTGTGTATCTGATTGAAGTTCAATTATAGGCATTTTAATAGAGTCTGCCCTTAAAACAAATTAAATTCTTCATTATTATTTGATTTTTTGAGAATTATGTTCTTTGGTTAATCATTCAGCATTTTCTGTGGGATAGATGGTACTTGAGTGATTCGGTCAAGCAATCTTGTTACCAAAGAAAATAGTTGAGAGAGGAGGTAGGGGTGGGCTCGGTGATCACATTAAGAATGGTTTGCACGGCAGCCAGTAGCTCAACTATTGCCTTGTAAGGAATCTGCAAATATTTGTTGTGTTATGCAGAATACAGGGACAAGTCACTCTAATTGTTTTCTTGGATCCTATGGGCTGATAAGCTGTCCAATGGCATCCCCAGCCCCCATTCTAGTTGCCAATTACCTCTTACACAAGACTTTAACATGTGATTACCTATACAACCTAACCACTGGGCGAACTCCTAGTTTCTCATATATGTCCCTATACTCTCTACGAAGAAATAGCATTGTGGTTTAATCTGATGTTTCTGACCTAATTACCTTTTATATTAATTATTTCGTTGAAATGTTAAAGAGTAACGTATTCTCCATTTGTTATAATTTGTGCAGGAGTACTTCTCCAAATGGGGAAACAGTGGTGAAGTGGACTTAAAGTACGAATTGGAGCATCTAATCATACTGACAGCCAGCAGATGTCTGTTAGGTGAAGAGGTTCGCAATAAGCTCTTTGACGATGTGTCTGCTCTTTTCCATGACCTTGACAATGGAATGCTTCCCATCAGTGTGATATTTCCATATCTGCCCATCCCAGCACACAGTCGTCGTGATCAAGCTCGCAAAAGGCTTGCTCAAATTTTTGCCAACATCATAGCTTCTCGTAAACAAACTGGCAAGACAGAAAATGATATGCTACAGTGTTTCATAGAATCCAAGTACAAAGATGGACGCCAAACAACTGAGTCAGAAGTCACTGGCCTGCTCATTGCTGCTCTTTTTGCTGGCCAGCACACAAGTTCCATTACTTCCACCTGGACTGGAGCATATCTCCTTTGCAACCCAACATACATGTCAGCGGTGTTAGAGGAGCAGAAGAATTTGACACAAAAGCATGGAAACAAGGTCGATCATGATATTTTGTCGGAGATGGAAGTCCTTCATCGATGCATAAAAGAAGCTCTGAGACTCCACCCCCCTTTGATAATGCTTCTGCGTAGCTCACACTCAGATTTCAGCGTGAAAACTCAGGAAGGCATAGAATACGACATTCCCAAGGGACATATTGTGGCCACATCACCCGCTTTCGCAAATCGCCTTCCACACATTTACAAAAATCCAGATAAATATGACCCTGATAGGTTTGCTCCTGGTAGAGACGAGGGCAAGGTGGCAGGAGCTTTCTCCTATATATCCTTTGGTGGTGGAAGACACGGTTGCCTAGGAGAGCCATTTGCATATCTGCAAATAAAAGCAATTTGGAGCCATTTGGTAAGGAATTTTGAGATGGAGCTAATTTCACCTTTTCCAGAGATTGACTGGAATGCCATGGTCGTGGGTGTGAAAGGAAAAGTCATGGTACGGTACAAGCGCCGGGAGCTTCCCCTTAACTAATTGAATAACTCTGCTAAAAGATCCCTAAAGCTGGTCAGCTGGTTTGGCCTTGTGTAGTTTGAATTTTCTTCTCTTAGATGTGCTGAATTCTGTCATTTCTCCTTTGTCATCTGTCCTCTCCAAGGTTTTGGACACTATCCTAGTTCGTAGTTTGATCGGTTTATCTTTACATTTAGTAATCAACTTTGCGAACCTGGCTTTTATGAATGATAATCAGTTTACTTAATTGCAATTATGATTATGATGATGATGATGATGATTGATAAATCAGTTGTAGTATTCATCATTGCTCAATCTAAAATTGAAGTGCCTGCCCATTGTTAGGAATTTGGCAACTATTAAGGTTTTGGTAGCATTAATGTTCTTTGCCCTTTATTCGGTGACAAAGGAAAAGGAAATGTCCATATGTTCATCAATTCCTAATGTTGTATTAGTCATTAGAATCATCTTCACATACATACATACATGAAATGATTTTCAGGAAAAGGAAAATGTATGCAAAGTCTCAATCTGTATAAAATTGAAAAACAATAATTGACAATCGCAAGTAAGGAAGATTTAAGTTCAACTTGATACGATTTTCAGCAGCTCAATATCGAACAAGAGAGTTTTATCAATCAATCCTTGGTTTCTCAGAACAAAATCCAAGGCTCTTTGACCCTGCGATGCAAACTCAATAAGATAATTTTCAGTATAAAAGGACAGCATTTAAATCAAATAACTGTATGGAGTACGAGGAGTACCGAAAATGTCATTGGCCTGGGACCTTTCTTGTTGAAGTCATTCTCAGGATATCCCAGTTCTGGGGGAACTATGATCCTGCATTATGCCAGAAAAATGTAAATTAGTGTATGTAGAGTTACCATGTCACACTATAGATAATCCATCTTGGATCCTGATTCTATAGTCCATTTTCCGTTGACAACTGAATTAAAAAAAAAAAAAATCTTATTGCAACCAATATATATTCTAAATACTTTATTGTCATGATCAATAATACCCCAACTCTTTAGCATGATTTCCCAAGAAATATCCACCAAGCTATAGATAAAGCTACAAATAAAACTTGGTGAGATGAATAGTTGTACCAAAACAATTGGAAGACGTATATAGAATGAAATAACATATGCATCTCAAACACCCATAGTCGGTAAAACTTATTCCCAGTTGCACTTGCAACCAGACCTTGCAAACTCAAGACCCTCTCAGTCTCAGAGGTTATATTGGAGATTGTATAAAGAGTAGAAGGGAATGTGATTTAAAATTAACTTTATTTTAAGTTCTTTTCTTAGGGTGGGGATGAAAGGAAGGTTGAGTGAGATTGCACCTTCTGATTCCTCCAAGCGCCATGCCTGATACAGCTTCCTCAAATGCAGGGATGACCTGAAGATTCCAACAAATCAAGAATACCAACATAAACCTTTCTAAACGCACAAATTACATTTCAGTAAAGTCAGTGTCCCACTATGTTGCACTAGAGATAGTGAGGCCAAAACAAAGAAATAATTAAAAAAACACAGACAAGTTTACTTGTTATGGAAGCTGAATATCTCATTCTTCCAGTTTTGGAAAATTCCTTAGAAGTGGTTTCCAGCTGAAAGTCAAATTTGTTATTTATTCTAAATTACTAATTGATATGATATTGTATTTGATGTCGACAGAATGTCTTTAAATCTCAACTTTATCTTTTTAATGCGTCATGGTACACGAAATGAATTATTTATTTGTAAATGAATGAAGAAAAGTATGAATTTATGGACCACAAGTAGAAAAGAGCAACCTGCAAGGATGAATTGCGGGAGCAGAACAAACACAGTAAAACATCCAATCCTACCCGAACTGTCGTGATAATTCAAAATCTCAGCGGTTATTCATTTCTCACCTCTTGTGATCCTAATCTGAATTTGAAGAAATCTTTATCATCCCCCTGCATATCAATAAAAAGGAATAAATAGGTCAAATGTCGAATTGCATTCTCTATATAACATGTGTAAAAAGGATTACCTCAAAAGATCCACCCTTTGTCTTGTTGCGAGCTTCAAATATGCGGCCATAATATCCTATAGTATAGCCATCCCAATCAACCTAAAATGCATTCACCGCAAGGAACTAAGTCAAAAAAATTCTGAACCAGTATATAATATGCGTAAAATAAAAATAACTCCACTCTCTCATATCAATACAATGTTCGATGACCTCTCCTTTCTCTAAGAATACCTTACACAGTCCAATAACTTGTACAAAAACCTCAAATTTTGAACCGTCCTAAATGTAGCAACTGGAATCATATAGGATGAATCCCCCGGATAGTTAGAGAACTATAAAGTAACAATGGTTCTAATTGGATAGGTTAATATGAGTGGATCATTTATCCTTGGGAAATGAAATCATAAACAATCTGTAGTATGATCATCAAGAATAAATCCTTCAAGGCTTCTCCAAATTACTTAATAGCAAACATTTGATTCTAAAAGTTGGGCAATATGAACACAAAAATTGCCCAACCATAAAACATATTGTGTGCACAATGTTTGGCTTACCACTACTGTCTCTCCAATTTTTGGAGAGGGGCCATTTCCTGTTCGCAAGTCCTGCACTCTTTGCAAGTTTGGAGTTAAAACTCAATGATATGAAGAAGGAAGAAATAAAAGAAAGTTCCACAGTTATGCTTCCAAACAGGTGAACCTTATACTGGAGACCTGAATTTGTTTCTGTATAATCAGGATACCGCATCTTTGTCTTGCCATAATCCTTTCCCCTCAATGCTGGCACTATATGCTCAAACAGTGAGCTGACAGTTAGTCTTCAAATCTACTAAGCTGCAAGTAATATTAAGATAAATATTCAAAGAACAATAATCTTTTCTCAGTTCCACCATCATAAGAATAAAATACATAAATAGTAATTACAAAAAGAACATGTAACAAGGCACCCAGATATTTGGACCATTCAACCTGCTTCTCAACATTAGTTCGGGAAATATTCAATTTTCTCACCTTTCTTTTCAGTATTTCTGCTGATTAACACCCCCCCCCCACCCACCCGCCCACCACTTCTCCTCTTCCTTTGGTAGTAGACTATATTAACTCTCTTCTGGCTTTGAAAACCTTATTGAATGCCCCTATCCATCAACTTGTTCTGCCTAGATTCTATTTTTACATAAAGGAATCCTACATAAAAAATAATAATAGTGTCCGAGAAACTTAAAACATACAGGTTAATAGAAATAGGGTAGAGGTTTCCAAAACCACCAATAAGTAGGTTATTTCTTAACCATAGGCACCTAGTAGGAATGCAGAATACTGATGAAGTTCAATGAAACATATTATTTCACATCTAATAAAACAAAATAATTGATAGTACGGAATGGTTTAGTTGCATACACTCGAATGTGCTTAATATTCGATCAAGGTTATTAATCGCATATTAATCTTAATAGTTAATCTGCTGTCGATTTCTCCTCCTCAAGTCCTCAATATGATCCTTACTATATCAATAGAGAATGCTACGATTTAACGCACAAATCTTGCAAGAAATTCTAACTAGCAGTGAAGGTAACTTCTTGTACAGCGGCACTCTGCGCTACCCTAAGAAGCTAGTGCAATACTAAAATATGAATATCAGATTCCTGCACCCAGTATTTCTTTTCTTCCAAAGATAAAATCAGACAAGGAGAAGGTGTAAGGCATTAACAGGAAACTGGTTAAAAAAGAGAAGCAATGGAATTTACTATCAGCGAATTCAGGTGCAGCAGAAGCTTCACCCCTTCGAGAATTGAAAATTTCCGCGGTTAAGAACGCAATAGACGACATTACAACTTGTCTTCTATCAATTAGTGAGCTCTGTTCCAATCTTCCACGACCCTCTTCAATAAGCCAACATAGAAGTAGAAATCAATCGGAAGTAGGAAAAAATAAAATGAAACTCCCAATAAGGTAAACTTATCGAAGGTTGAATAAGAAAAGAAAACCATACTAACCAAACGAGGTTGATGGGTCGGTAGAACTTCCACAAATAATACGTAGACATGAAGATGAAGGAGAAGGACGACCAACGGCAACAAGGTTTGACGGGAAACGCTTGGGATACGATCCAACGGCTGAAATTGACGCCATAGGCATTCACAGAGACAGAAAGAGGTTTCTAGTCCATTGAAATGAAGGGATATTAGCAGAACAGTGAAACATTCACGGGAAGATAACAGCCTCATCTTTTGTTGAGGAAATATACGAAAATGACATTTACACTGTAGTCTATTTTCAAAGTCACCTTTGATTAAGAAATAGAATTAAAAAAAAAAAAAAAAGGGACATTCCTCACAGACGATTCATAGGTTAACTTTCCAAAAGCCAAAAATACCCTCACTGTATTCAAAAGAAACATTCCTCACAGACGATTGAGATATCTCACCGACCGGCCATCTCCTTCACCGACCCATCTCACCGACCGGCAACCTCTTTCACCGACCCATCTCACCGGCGAATTGAAAGGTTGGTATTTGTCATTAAAAGTGGGGGTTTTAATAGAATTACTTCGAATTTATGTACTTTTATTTTTTTT